ATACATACATACATACATACATACATACATACATACATACATACATACATACATACATACATACATACATACATACATACATACATACATACATACACACACCCACCTATATATGGAATTTAATTTGATAACTGGTGCATCGCATGTTATTTCACATGATTTTTTTTCTTATGTGCGACTTGAAATTTAGAATATTGATTAACATATATTTGTTTCACGATGTGAACATGTTTTATGCGTTTATGAAACAAAATATACAATTAAAAAGTTACAGATTGTGAACCAAATACATACGAAAAAAACACATTATGAAACAAATATATGTTAATCAGTATATTAAATTTTCATCTTGGATGGAAAAAAGTCACGTAAAACAAACAAAAACAACACTGGAATGTAAGGAGTGTATCTCTTCGAACCATTTACAAACAAAAATCATGATATTCATGATTTTTTTTGTTCCTATTCGTATTCTCATTTTCTCAATCTATCACCAACCTCGGCTTAATTTTCCACACAAACGTTTAACGAGACTTACAACAACCATCTTTATCGAATATCATGTATCAATATATCACATTCGAATACTATCTATGCCAAGATATCTCATTTCGTTTAACTTATCACGCGTTTCCCTAAAACAAACTACAGTTTCCGTCCTAAACCACTTCGTTATACAACCTCTACAAATTTAACTTGTTAATTTGTTTATATTGATATTACCATACAACCCAGTTCATAAAGAGTGCAGAGTGATTTTATCCAAATACAACACAGTTCCCTGTTCGGTCCCGAGCCCTCCCCCCCCCCGCGGCTGAGTGAACCAAAAAACGGCATTGACATTTGTGTCATTGAAGGTAGGTTCCACATAGAATCAGTTGGAGTTATTGGTAATCAATCTTTTATCTGGATTATTATTATTATTATTTTTTGGTTTTAGATTTTGTTTGTTAACCTGGATATCCAACCCGCTATGCGAGCCGACTAACCCCAGGGCTACCATCCGCTTCGCGTGTAGCCCGAAGTCACTCACAAGATGATTTTTATTTCTTCTTAGATTTGAACATGGAAGCTCCAGACATTTTTAACCTTTGAAGCTCAAGTTTAAACCAACCGAACACCAGCGTTAGTGTTATGGTTTGGTTTTAGAATTTGAAAATGTAGTAATATAATTTTGCTATTTGGTCAAGGAGTTGGTTTTCGAGATTTTTGCATTGTTGTGTGGTTCATCGTATTTAACACACCCCCCAAGTTTCCTCGTATATCACCATCCATCTTCTTTAATTAACTCAAGCATCATCATCACCATTCCCCATGCCAACACTCTTTTGTTGGTATTTGTGGATCATATTTTTCGGAAAGAAATCCAACCCGTTATGCGAACCGATTAATTTCAGGGTGACCACCTGCTTTGCGGGTAGCATGGAGTCACCGCAATTGAACCTCCATGGCCATAAGGAGATTCTTATTTCTCCTTGAATTTGAACCTGAGACCTTTAGACACACTTTTGACTTTTGGAGCTTAGACTCAAACCAATCAGACACCATCCTCGTGGTTGGGTTTTCAGTTGATAACGAGAGACTTTTTTAGGTTTTTAGCTTGACGTTTCTTGTATTTTCTTCTATTTTGCATATCCTTTATGAAGCACAATTTAAAGTTTAACAGATGCACCTTTCATACAAAAAAACTTACGAAAATAAGTTGAGTAGGTATACAAGACCACTTGATGCTTAATAGGTCTGCCCTAGGCATTGGTATCCACCATTGAAAAGATTGAAGGCTATTTTTAATTATAGCACAAACAAATGTTAAAAAATATAACAACAAATAATGTGAAACAATGTGAATCATGAAATATAACGTGAAATAAATAGAAAGGGCATCCAATATTTTTGTCGAACAGATGCATCTTTAAGATGGATCAAAAGCCCGTAAAGTTGCCCAAAGTGTTTTTTTACCTGAGTTTTGTTGTTTGGAGGATTTTTAAAAAAAATTGGTCGATTTCGATAGAATTTTTTCGATTTTTCAGTTGATTTCAATATACTTTTTGGGTTGATTTCAATAGACTTCTTCAATTTATATGATATCTATTGTATTCTGTTTTAGAGATCCAGAAGCATCTTCCAAAGTTTCACATTTACACCCATTATAAAAGAACTCTTTGCGAAAATCGGTTGAGCAGTGAACAGGATGCTACATATGCCTTCATAGTTCATCGGTTCTCCCCTGTTGAATGGTCATGATTGTCGATTGAGTCTTTACAGGTTTGTAACATTTTAAAAAACGATGAAAAAATATATCAATACGGGTTTAAAATAAAGAGAATAAATAAGTGTTTTTGGGTGTAATTTGCTTCGCTCCAGTTCTAGTTATATTTTTCCGATTTTCGAGTAAAAATATGAGAGGTACTCTTATTTTTATATTTAAAGGTGGTTAACATCTGTTCAATTATACATCTCAATCTAACGGTTTATATGAATTACATTCAGTTCTTTGTTTAAGTTTCTCTCCATTTATTTTCTTTATATATAAAGTAATAAAAATTAATATGGTCAAAGGGTGGTTATGATCGAAAAGAGAACCTCTTAATAATTCCATTAAGAGACAGCCTATGAATCGTTAAGAGGTGAATCTTGTCTGGTAAAAAAAAGTCTGCCTCTTAATAGTTATAAATTCATCTGAATGATTTCGTATATTTGGTCTCCCTTAATCATTCAGCGTCATAATTTCATCGTAAACAATTACCGAACAATTATATTACATTTTGCACTGTATCATGAGAGCCTCTTAATCATCATAACCATTTAATCATCCTGCACCAAACTATATAGCAACTGGCAAACAACCCCTTAATCATCCGACGGTGCATTTTTTAATTAAAAAAAAGGAGTGATCCAAGATTCTTTGTTGATAATATCACAAAATAATTAACATAATATAAAAATATATAAAATTGATTGTAATTTAAAAATAAAAATAAAAAGTAAATACCAAAAAATAAAATACTCTCTTTAAAATTCACGTTTTACAAAATATATACTTTTAAAAGACATTATTAAATGAATCATGATTAGCTCGCCCTTGCATTAGATTTTGCTTATCGCTATTAGTTGATGGTTTTACATTAAGTTTTGCTATTAGTTTTTGCTTATCGCTAAATAAGTTGATGGCTTTACATTAAAGACGATGATTTGTGCCGACCCAGTGGAAACCCCGGCTCACCCGATCCGAACAAGGATGAAGATTCCCTGTTAAAACGGGTCCCGGGGCCAGGGCCGAGGATCTCCGATAGACTCAAACCGACCCGGGTATTGTACCACCGACCCCGTACCCAATATATTATTTATTTTCTAAAATTAGGTATTGACTGGGGACGAGGATCGGGGTTTGACCAGAAAATAAACCGGAGATGGGATGTTAATCTCCGTACCCGTCGGGGACCGGGGTCGGGGGCTGTTACTAAAAACCGGGACTAGGGCCGGAGATTACAAAACCCGCTCCATCCCCGCGTCGTTGTCATGTCTATTTTAGACTAAACAATTAACCAGTCAGGTATTACATTAAAATATTGCATTGATAAATCGAACTAGGAAATTAAAACTAGGGCATGTAAGTTTGAGCAACTTGTATATGGGCAATGTGTTATAAATGAACATGTATGAGAATTGGCTGCTTTAACTATTGTTGTTCAAATTTGCTCAACTTGTATGTAAATTTTCGTGGTCCCAGTCCTGATTTTAAGCTGGTCCCGAGCCAATAATATATATTTGGCGTTCCCAAAGAAAATAAGAAAAAAGGAGTAATTAACCTAAATAGCCATCTTCGGTTATCTTTTTTAAAAATTAACCACTGTTTTTTTTTTCTTCCGATTTTGTTTGTTGACCTACAAGGCTGACGCCTCAAACAACCGTTTGCTTGTGGTGTCAGACTTTTTCCTGACATGTTATGTGGGAAAAAAAAATATAACTGACCGATGCCTTCTCTCCAACAACTACTTTTCCGGTGCCACAAGTCCAAACTGCAACTTGAGGTTCCGCAAGACAAATCCAAAACCGCAATGCCGAAGGCCAAAAACTCCAGCTTGCGGTTTCGTCTTTTTTGCAGCTATGTGTTTATAAACTTGCATGTATAGACTTAAGAAATCCTTATAATGACTAAGAAAACATACAAATTTATAAAACCATATCTACAAAAGAGAGCAAATCACCAAAGGGCCTTTGGCTTAGCGATATGTGAGTCTTTGGCCTTCCAGGAGGTCAGGGGTAAAACCTCATCAAATGTGATGAGGGTGTGTGAGTTTATTTGTTCTATTTGCCGTGTATAATATTATATACTTCAAAAGAAAGAGGAATCCGAAAGTTGTGGTTTTGGATTTGGTCTGCGGCACTGCAAGCTACGGTTTTGGATTTAGCATGCGGCACCACAAGGTACAGTTTCGGATTTGGCTATCGCAAGTTGCGGTTTTACACTTTTTTAAAATAAAAGAAAATAATGGCGATGTTTTAAATACTTTGATTGGTAAAAAAAAAAGCAGCCCAAAACAAGTTTAATAATCAGCAACAGCCCAAAGTCTGTAAACCTTAACCGCAGCGGGCACGCGGATCTATTTGACCCGGATTTTCACCCATATTTCAAGCAAGAAAGCTATGTGTGCAAATTAGCATCTGTTTGCTTAGAAAATTTAACGCGGGAGCGCACGTTAGCACCAAAATCTCAAAAAAAAGGCGAAAAACACATTTATTGAACTTAAAAGGCGGGTATTCAATCTCTATAAACTCATCCCTTTATTTTAACCCCCCAAAAGTTGTTTTCTTCCCCCCTTTCATTTTCACTTTCCCACACTCGAACGTAACTTCTCTTTCCCAAATTTCTGTCTTCCACGATCCATCTACTCTCTCTCTCTCTCTCTCTCTCTCTCATGGAGGATCGGAGACGCCATGAACAACCTACCAACTCCGTGAGAAGAAGCCTGAAGAGGAAGCTGCAGGATGTATTGATCGAAGATCGACATATATGTTTTTCTGAAGATGTTTCTCAACAGGATCTACTATCTGAAATTCGTGCTCAGGTTGAAGTCCTTGAGCTAACTTACTCATCGGTTGAAGCAGATCGTGCCCTAGCTAAACGCTCTATTAACATCCTATCAGAGCTCGCCAAGAACGGTATGGATTTCTTTTGATTGTGTTTAATTTTTCAATTTTACGCTGCGAAATCTGATTTGGTTTGGTTTGTGTATATCGTCTTTTGATCGACTCACTGCGCGTATGTGTGTGTATATATATACTCAAATTTATGCAAGCTTTTGTTTTAGGCTGTAGCTTCCGAGTTCCGATGGTTTATGTTATCGTGCTGGCGAAATTTTAATATACTTACCTCATAGTTTCTCAAAATTTGCTTTTAGATTTTATTCTTACCTCCTGATAATTTCGTGGTTTTCCATTAATTCGACTTATCGGTGAGTATATGCTGACGTTGTGTTATTGCGGCGGCTAAGTTGAACAGTGTGCTGGCGAAATCTTAATATATTCGTTGCTTGTTTTATTAATTTTGTGTTTATATCTTATTGTTACTCCGTGACTTCGTATGATGTATCTACATACTCCATATAATTTTGTTTAATTTGTGCATATCACGTTTAATTTCGTTTTTTTCTGGATTAATTTGTTTTTTCCGGGTGAGTAGCTGCTGCTGCTGCTTTGTGTTATTGTGGTGGCTAAGTTGATGTTATGTGAGTTCTGGTGTTGTATATTACTGGCTGAATTTTTTCGTTTGATTACTATGTGTATATAGAGGATATCGTCAACTTGATTGTTGAGTCTGGTGCTGTTCCAGTCCTGGTGCAACATCTTCAAGAGCCACAGTTGGTGAAAGAGGCTGTTGCTGGTCTAAGGCCGTATGAGCATGAAGTGGAGAAAGGAAGTGCGTTTACCCTTGGACTTCTTGCAATAAAGGTAGTGATGCGACTCTTCCTTCTTTGGGACATGTCTTTTAATGCATAGATGCGTTTCAATTGGACTGTCAAATAAGTTATAAACTTGTGAATTGAAATAAAGTAGTATCTGAATTGAAGTTATAAACTTGTGAATTGAAATAAAGTAGTACCTGAAAGACTTCTTTGATAAAATCATTGCTGTTAATGTGATATGTGCTTGCTATGAATTTCTAAGTTCCCTCCCTGAAACATGAACTGTTAGTGGATGTACTCCTGCTCAATAATCTTTGATCGAAATAGTAGGTGGCCACAAGGTATCATTAAAGCTTTTAATCCATCAACTATGCTTGAATAATATTGCGGGCATCCTTAGACATTATGCACCTAATTGAGCATTTAAGATGTTCATTTGCATACATATTATGTTGTGAGAGGTTTTTGACATATTCTTCATCAATATGCACATGTGGATGATCCAGCTACACTCAAGCATCAAGTTTTGGTGCAAGGTCCTATATAACATCACTTTTTGGGCTCTCTATACTATGATGAGACTGACACCATCAGATCCTGCCTACATCTTGTCCCTTCTTGGACACTTATCTTTGGTCGACAGGCCTTGATACACCCTATTCATGGCACTGCTCACTGTTTTGTACTAATGTGGATGTCCAATGATGTTAACTTTGATATTTGGTGATGCATGTTCAATTGATATGGTGAGTGGGTAAATTTGCACACATGATGGGTGGTCATGACTCATGATGGAATAACTTGGTGAGTGGGCAAAACCCTTCTATGTACACCTCATTGATGTGGTGAGTGGGTAAATGTGACTAAGGTCCATTTGCACCAATGAGGTATACAGGCTTTTGCCAACCACTTAATGGATCAACCTTTGCAATCCTCAACCTATAGCAAGCAGCCAGAGAATTACTTCAATTTCCCCTTTCTTTTCTGCTATCTAATTTGTATTATGTAGGCTAGGTTATATTTTCTGCTGCATTCTTTTTCCAGTCAAGTTTCCTTATGAATTCAGTACTTTGTAACTTACCATGACTTCTATGAACATCTGGGTTGTATGCTGCAATAAAACGACAGGTATCAGCAGGTTGTAATCGTTCCTTTTTTGTTTTAGTTGCAAATTGTCCATTTATTTGCTTTTTTTCAATTATAATTCTGCTATATTGTTGAAAAAAACCCCCATAGGCGTTGATTCTGTCCCTTGGTAACAGAAGTCAGGTCAAAGCTTTTGTTGGATATGCATAGTGAGTTTTTGCAAGGAAAGCTTAAGGAAACACTAGATTCCTGAAGATGGCTATATATTTTTTGTTTTTTTACAAGTTTCTGTAATGTGGTACTTTTGGATGTTGAACAGATTTGAAATCCACAATCATTCACATCCAAATTGCTATATATATATATATATGTATATGTATATTGTACTTGGTATACACTTCACTGGAGAATTGCATTTATGATTTCCGTTGTTTAACAGCCTGAGCATCAACAATTCATAGTTGATGCTGGAGCGCTTCCTCATCTGGTTGCTCTGCTTAAGAGGCGCAGGGATGACCAGAATGTTCGAACAGTCAACGGTGCCATAAGGAAAGCAGCGGATGCAATCACCAACCTTGCTCATGAAAATAGCAGCATCAAGACATGTGTTAGGTTAGTTTCCTTGCATGCTTTCCAGTTGCAATGTAGGTATTTTAGTACCTCCCTCTCACCACATTTTCATGTTTAGGGTTGAAGGTGGCATTCCTCCTCTTGTTGAATTATTAGAGTCCACTGATGTGAAAGTGCAGAGAGCTGCAGCTGGGGCCTTGCGTACACTAGCTTTCAAAAATGATCAAAACAAAACCCAGGTGGATGCTTATGTGGGTTAGTGGAACTTGTTTTTGGGACTAAGAACTAAAATGTTTTAACAAAATCCCTAAAATATCTGCAGATAGTGGACTGTAATGCTCTGCCCAAGCTTGTTCTAATGCTTCGGTCAGAAGATGCTGCCATACACTATGAAGCAGTTAGTTACTATACCATTTTTTAATTCCAACTAGATATTTGAGTATGAACCTTGCTTGTAGCTTACAATGATTTTTGAATTGGTCTTTTAGGTTGGTGTGATCGGCAATCTTGTCCACTCATCCCGAGACATAAAGAAGGAAGTTCTTCTTGCTGGAGCATTGCAACCTGTAATTGAATTGCTTAGGTACCAAAGTTTTCCTCCACTGACTATGACTAGGTGTTGGTAGCTATATTTGGAAGTATTTATTGATCCATTTGCATAAACAAATGTCACTTGTCATCCAGTCATAAGTCATAACCAGGGTTCTATATACTTTTTAGTTTTGCGGTTTAAAATGTTGAAATAGGGCAAACAGATGCAGCTTATGAAAAGACAAAATGTTGCGATCAGCTCTAAAATGTTAAGGGGTTGAGTAAGATTGCAAACTGTTGCTACTTCTAAACAAGTGCAATAAAATTGTTCTGATCTATGTCTGCATGACTTAACTAGATATGTGGCAACATTATATTATTATATAAATGTGTGCATGTTTGTATATCTATGGTGTATGGACAAGTATTTCTATTATACCATGTACCTTTAATATGAACAGCAAAGGTGTCTTTATATGGTATAGAGCATTGCACAATTTCACTGAAGTTAAAATGCTCTATAAATTGAGCTAAATTGCAATTCACATATGTGAAATCACTATTTTTTATTGCAAAAGAAAAGGATTCAGATATGTATTCATTCAGCATAACAAAGGCATGAGGGAAAGTTTTTGCTTGTGCTAACTTGCAGTTGCTCCTGTGCAACCTCAGTTCACTCCTTCGGTCTCCTCTAAATTTGATCTTTTGTCGACAGTTCAACCTGTTCGGAGACCCAAAGAGAAGCTGCCTTACTTCTTGGACAATTTGCTACTGCTGATACAGAATGCAAGGTTGGTCAAACTGCTAGTCATTTATCCACAGATTAGTATGTGTAGTAATCCTATAGCCAAAAATTAAAAAAATGGTTTTATTGATTGGTCACTTTTCTTTATCTTCAGTAGATAAAAATCAAGACAATACTTTTGCAGGTGCACATAGCTCAAAGAGGTGCTGTTGGTCCACTAATCGAAATGTTGCAGTCTCCAGATGCTCAACTAAGGGAAATGTCAGCCTTTGCACTTGGGAGGTTGGCACAGGTAATCATGTATTTAGTTATATTATTTACATGATGTCTTTTATGCTATAGAATTTTCGGTTCAAGATCTGTTCTTTTACTTGATTCAAAACAATAAACAAATATTTATTATTGGGGTTTTCCGATGGTAACCACGTTAGTTAATTGTTAAAATGAATTTATAACATAACCTTTTGGCCCAAAACTAAAACCATCAGAGTTGATTCTAAACTAAGAACAATACTAAGTTTAAAACAGAAATGGATAGTGTTAAGATTCTTCATTGTCACACGACCAACTTAGCATCTGGAGCTTTTCCAGAAAACACACATCATATTTTCTGTCAAAATGAAGTAGAAGTAACAAACTCATTGGTGTTTTAACAATTTAGGCTGGATTGCTTATGTGTTTCACTGCCATGTAACGTCTCTCTCCACATGTCTTCTAATAGTACTGGCTGGTTGTGTAAATGTGTTTCATATTAGTTATATATACATGTATATATAACTAAATTATTGAGCACCCATGTTTGAGTTTTGAGGCTTGTTTTTCTTTTCATCTACCAGGACACTCACAACCAAGCCGGTATTGCCTATGGTGGTGGCATTGTTCCATTATTGAAACTTCTTGATTCTAGAAATGGCACTCTTCAACACAATGCTGCATTTGCTTTGTATGGTCTTGCAGATAATGAGGTAACTTTGAACTTGCAAGAACAGTTGAATTCATATTATATCTGCAGGCAATATCTTTCAACTTGCTGGAAATCTTTCATAGGATAATATTGCTGATCTTATAAGGGTTGGTGGTGTTCAGAAGCTGCTGGATGGTGAATTTGTTGTTCAGGTAATTGATGATTTGATTCTTATCACTGCTGCCTATTTGCAAACAATCCTTTCTGTAATTCAAGAGTCATTGTTGCTTTTGAGATGAAGAACACTTGATTGGTTGAGTTTATGAGCTGTCGGTAATTGTGCAGCCAACTCGGGAGTGTGTAGCAAAGACGTTGAAAAGATTGGAGGAGAAAATTCATGGAAGGGTAATTCCGTATTCATTACTTCAAACCTTAAATGAGATTCTCCTTCTGATATATTTCATATAGATGGTCTTTACATACTGCTCTCAAAGTTCCTAGAAATCTAACATCCCCATTAATATGTGATTATTTTTCTATTCTTGTTCAAAGATGTTTATGATCCCTAACTCTTCTCAATTGAACATAATATGGGAGACTGGTGAGGTAAATGAAATCTTGGAGAGAAGTATTTGGTGTTGCCTACCAAGTTATTTACTCCATCTGTCCCAAAATAAGTGTCCATATTTCTATATTAGTTTGTTGCAAAATGAGTGTCTACTTCCAGAAGTAAGTGCCTACTTTCCCATTTTACCCTTAATTATGAGAAGGAGAAATCCATTACCCCCATGTTATTATGGGTAAAATTATCATTTAGTTGATTAAAAAGTTTAATAATTACACATTTTTAGAATTGTCTGCCTTTTTTATCGTGGACATTTATTCTGGGACAGAGGGAGTACATGTTTGGCTAAAAATGCTTTGTGGTTTTAAATGAAAAATGATCTCTTTGTCCATACCATGTTGAATGTAACTTTATAAGCTATTACTTGAGCCTGCCATTTGAAAAGAAATGGCCCGCTCTAGGATCTAACGGTTGACCTGGGATGTTTTTTGATGTTAGTTCTGATATCTTTAATGTAGCCTTTGTAGTATATCATTAAAATTCTGGTATCACTTAATAAACACATGATATTTCTCCTCTCAGGTATTAAGCCATTTGTTGTACTTAATGCATAAGTCTGAGATAACTATTCAAAGACGAGTTGCCTTGGCTCTTGCGCATCTTGCTTCACCTGATGACCAGAAATCTATTTTTGTTGATGGCAATGGTAAAGTGTTTAGGCTTATTAAACTAAACTTGTTCTTTGCTAAGATGTCTGGCAAATAACACATTTTATTTATACAGGAACCTGATTTTTCACATTTTCTGTTTTGATATATTTGATGAAAATTTTTCAGGACTTGATTTACTTTTGGAGCTTCTACAATCAGCTAAACCAAAGCATCAAAAAGCTAGTTGTGTGGCTTTGTGTAAGTTGGCTGAAAAAGCTAGCACACTTTCTCCTATGGATGCAGGACCGTCATCTCCAATATCTCAGGTTAGTTTTTTTCTTCTTTTTCTGCTTTTAATAAATTTAATAACTTTCTTTCAATTATGTGATGATGGAAATATGTATTTTGTTGTTGACCAAAACAAAATATGGTACAGTTGGTTATTTAAATCACTTCTAGTACTTGACTGAGTATTTTTATTTGAAGCATGATATTAACAATAGCTGATAATTGGTTCTAATGGCTTGAGGTGTGGTGGTGAGGTCAAGCCTTGGGAGCCATGGCCAAGTCACGATATTTTTTAAGGCATGACTTATGGCCGCAAATCTGTAAATCATGTATTATATATATATATATATATATATATATACATGTAAGTTTTCTACTATTATTTAATGAGTTAATGGTATTGAACAAAAAATGTTTTACCAATGATTCTACATATCTATGTCTAAGACCATATAGAAGTAGGTTATATACTAAAAAATAAAACACTAAAAAGTTAAAAATAGAATAACAATTCTCCTAGTGTCTTGCATAATATCTGCCTGATTATATTAATTTAGGAACAATCAATCTGATGTTTTGATGAGTTTAGCTCTAGATATTAGAAGATAAGCATTCAAGCAACTCTTTGTGCAGGTATATTTGGGAGAACAGTATGTGAACAACCCTACACTTTCTGATGTAACTTTCCTCATTGAAGGTGAAAAGCTTTTTCCTTAACAAAATCTGATTTCTTGTGACTTTTTATCAGGTCATTTAGGAATATAACCTTAAATGAAATTTTAATTAAATCCATGACCTCTAGTCCTATTAAAAGAAAAACGGCTTTATACACATGATTAAATGTGATCCAAACTCTTAATCATATATGACCGAACACATGTTTCATTGACCGGCATATAGCGATGGATCTTACCTTGCGTTCACCAAGTTGCCTGAGTCCCTTTTGGACGTGTTTAATCATATATGATTACATGTGTGATCTTGGAACTTCTCGCCTACTCGGCTTTCACATCTCCCTCTTATACTCGTAAGGTCATGGTTTTAATTAAAATCTCATTTAGGTTATATACCTAAATATCTCCTTTGTTTATCAAAGGTTGGGATGACATTCTGTATTTTTGGTATCAGGCAAACGGTTCTATGCTCACAGAATTTGTCTGCTTGCTTCTTCTGATGCATTTCGGGCAATGTTCGATGGTGGTTACAGGGTTAGTCACTATGAACTTGCAGCAAACTATAACCTGTCTTGTGTTTGTTTTGTCAATCATGATTGTGGCTTTCTTTATTCATCTTTTGTGTTTGACGTTCTAAATGAATGCTGCATTACTAGGAGAAAGATGCCAAGGATATTGAAATTCCGAACATTAGATGGGAGACATTTGAGTTAATGATGAGGTATGTGTCTCCCTCCTTGTCTTTTTCGGGTTTTAAGTGCATCTCCTACAGATTCATTATAATTTCTCCAAAATCGACATCTTCCCTATTGTCCACATGGTTGAGCTTGTTCAACCCTCAAAACCAATTAAACGTTGTTGGTATGACGCCTGCCATTGTCAAGAGTGCCTAGATGAAGCGTACCGAGTTGAGTATGATAAAAAAGTTAAAATAAGAATTTACATTCAAAATATTTAGTAGGTTTAGTTTCCAAGAAGCCTTCAAATAAATTTTATATGAAATGGTAATATTTTCACCTTTCATTGGTAGGAACCATAAGAAAAGTTTCTCTTTAGCTTTTACTTTTGGAGGGTTCTACAATTTGTAGATTTTCTTACAACTACTTTTTTGTCAAAGTTTTGGAGGATTTGTTGGAGCTGAACCTAGGTTAAGAACTTCAAAAATCTTCATTTTCTCCATTTTAAAGAATTTGTTGGAGATGCAAATAAGATAGACCACATGCTTAAGTCATGTTTAGCAACCACAAGCTAATGTATTATTTTTTTGATTTTATTAAAAAAGCTCCATTTCGTTAGCTACAAGCCTATCTTTTTGAAATGCTACTTTAAGTAGCATTTCAATAATCTAGAGAGCTTTTTTCCAATTGTGCCCCTAATATATTTTTATTTAATTTTTCATAATGTCATTTTAAGTCTTTTATATTATTATCTAGCTTTTCAGCTAGTTTCCCCGAAGATAGCTTTAACGTCCCCCTCTATCATCTCTTGATATATTTTGCTTACAGGTACATCTACACCGGATCGGTAGAGGTAAATTTAAGAATAGCCCAGGATCTTCTTCGAGCTGCTGATCAATATCTTCTCGAGGGGCTTAAGCGTCTTTGTGAATACTCCATTGCACAAGTAATTTGCATTTTCTTTAATTCCATCTTATGCCCTTTTTGATGTTTGTTATGCATGTTGATCGACACATAATTGGGTTTGCTGCCTTCTTTGTTTTAGAATATAAGGGTCGAGAATGTGGCACTTATGTATGACCTATCGGAGTCCTTCAATGCCGTCACGTTAAAGGATGCCTGCATTTTGTTTGTTTTGGAGCACCTTGACAAACTAGATGTAAAACCATGGTATGATCTCATTTCATTGTAGTTAAAATGTGTCTTTTTTTAGTTTGATACTTCTGATTTAGAGATGCGCAAGCCTTAGCTTTTCAAGCCAATTTTCAGTAAGCATAAAAAGACTTGGGTTTTTGTGCCCGATTGGGCTTGTTAGGCTTGCTAGATCTGAGCGTTTTTAGGCCGAGCTTCGGGCTTTTTATGCATCTCTACTTCATATTAGAGATGCATAAAAAAACCTAAAAAAAAACCAGACCTAGATCCAACTTGAAAAAAAGGGGAGCTTGGTGCACTGGATTATGTTAATTTTTTTTTGGGAAGGCCTGATTAAGCATAATTGGCCTTTTTTCAACTCCAAAGCCAGGTCTGGTCTGAGCCTGAAATCGACTAAGCCTTGCTTACTAAAAATGGACTTGGAAGGTGTGGGTCTTGTGCATCTATACATATCATGGTTGATGTGGCTAAATTGAAATAAAACTTCCAGGTATGCTAGTCTTCTCCAACGGATTTTGCCAGAGATGCGGAATTACTTCGTGAGGACATTTACAAGGCCCGTGGAAACTGACTTACGGCAATAGATGGTTTAGGTACGTTTTTTTGATTTGACATAGAAGAGAACATGTACAGAAAGTGATTTTAGTTTCTATTGTTGAAGAAATGGTAGGATCCTTTTGTTGGTAGTCATGTTGAATAGAACTAGAAACAGAAAGTCTGCACTGGCCTTTTCCTTGGCTTAATTGATCTGACGTTTCTCATTTTGGAGACGGTTGTAAATCAGATTAATGATGCTTGCACATCATATTGGCGTGAAAACATTAATTACGGGAGATGGGCCTGAACCTCTTTGTTAGGGGTTGTTTTGGCACCTATTGAATGGTTTGGTACTTTGGTATATGATGGTTAAGTGATCAGAATGATTAAGTAATCAGAATGATTAAGTGACTCTCATGATATAGAGCAAAATCAAGTATAATTGTTTGGTAATTATTTACAACGAAATTAGAGCGTTGAAGGGTTAAGTGAGGCCTAGAATACAAAATCATTCAGATGGTTTTAAAATCATTAAGAGTCATTTTTTTTTTTTGCAAAACAAGATTATCTCTTTACGATTTAAAGATTCTTGCTTAATGAAATTATTAAGAGATAAATAAACAATCTCTTAGTTTTAGTTGTTAAATCAATTCTAAAATGTATTCGCACATTTGGTTCCTAGGAGTGGGTTTCGTGTGATGTGGCTGTTAAATAGTGGCATGAAAGCATCAACTATATTATGGCTATTTTTTTGAATTAATCTCTATTTTACTCTGATGAAGTAGCAATAGCCTGTGATACTTTCGGTCACACAAATGCAGTTTTTATATACTTTTTGTAACATCCTAAATTTGGCCAGCTGAACTTGTTGAATCTCTTATTCATAATGAATGTAGGCTCTTTTTCTACCACAAAAGATGGCATTAGTGTTTACCTACAAACCATTTTCTAAAGAATACAAGAATCATTCATCACACTCATGACCCTAATTTTACATCATATACAAAAAAATATCAAATATTCATTTCATATTATATGCATTCCGATTGTGGGATGATAACTCGATTCATCGTTCTCCGGCTAATTCTCTTTGATTCCATAAGCTTCGTGATGGTGTTGGCATGTAACGGCCGTTCTATTTGAACCGTCTCTTCTGAACCTTCGTTCATCAACTCTAAACAATACTTTTTGAATGTAGAAAGACTTATGTAGAGTCGAAAATTGATTCCAAACAGAAATTTCATCTCCAATCTGTTCAATTCTGTTGTTGTAACTCCTCCCACTTTGGCATAGTATGCATTATTGAAGAATCTACAATTAAGAAAACCAAATGACCCCTTCCATAACTTGACCTCCAACAAGGGATAATCACAAAAACAAAACCAAAATTGTTGTTGAACCATCACAAAAATGACCAACTTTTTCCAAATCCGTGCAAAATAGGTCTGAGAACATGTGGAACCCCATTATTACACTCCAAAAGAGCCCTTAAGGAGAATTTGTTCAACTTTAGCCGATGTGGGACTTTAGCATGCCTCCTCCAACTTAGGCTAGATGGCCAAAGATGTTCCAGATGGTAGAATTTGGCTCTGATACCATGTCATAATATGTGAAACCTAAGATTACTCTCAAAAAGAGCCTTTAAGAAGAAAAGTAAGGTTCCAACATATTATATAGAGCAGAATTTGTTCAAGTCTAGCCATTCTGAACTCGAACAATAGCGAAACCTGTTTTTTGTAAAATGTTTATCAACTTTGTGACCCACAATTTCGTGGACCCATATCCTAGAAAAGAGGGTTTTGTTCGCCTTTTTGTAAAACGAGACAACAAAATTGGATAAAAAAAAACTTTTTGGGAAGGGTGGGTAAATATACAAACAAGTCAACATCAAGACCTACATTTTACATTTATAATGCATGATCTGAAATGAAAACGGGTGCACATAGCAAATGACCCACAAAATTCAATAAAATATGCCAAAAAGTACATTTCGTAAAAAAGGGTTTTTGCTCGTACTTTTTGCAAAGAGTTTGACTATTTTGTGCTAATTTAATTGCTATTTCCGAGTTACGCTCACGCGTGCAAATAACCCATCCAATAATCAATTAATAATATGATTAAAAAGAGAGATTTGGCAAGAAGACTTACTCGTCGTCAATGAACTTTGCAGCTAACATTACGCTCGTGATTAGAAGGCGATGAACATTAAGTGACGTCACAACAATATTTCCCGATCGAATAAATCTATCGATGTATACGTATGCAACAATGAAGCAGGAAGGGCTGCAACGGGAGTACTTAAAAATTCGATCAACGTATTGTTGAATAGTAAGCGTTGGTGCTCTTGAGCCATGAAAAACCGTGATAAGCTCATCTTTCGTTTGTGTCGTTTGCAACATTGTTTCATTCTTTTCGACGGATTTCTGAAGAAGTGAAGAAATAAAGGATAGAGCTTTCGGGTTTCCGGGATTTTGGTTCATTTGTCCTTTGAGGCCTAGACTAATGTACAATTTTGAGCCGAGGATGTCGTTTTCGAGCGTTGAACCTTCCATATCCAAGCAAGGCTGCAGGAAAGAAAGACGTAGAGAATATAAATAAGAGCTCCAACAAGAAACGGGAGTGAAAAAGATGATGGCCCAAACATAAAAGACCCAAACGAAAACCAAAAAAATAGCAAAAAACACAAGAGTCTCTCGAAACATGTTTTTTGGCCTCGAAAAACCCATAGCAGAAGTTACGTGCACTTAATATTAGCTTTGATTTTGCGTAAATGGACCTGAAACGGAGTCTTGTAGCAAAAGTTACCATTCGCAAGGTCATGGGCTTCTAGGAACTCTAAGCATGGTCCTCCACGCTTAGACCAACATCAGTACGTGGAACACTTCATAGAAGGGAGGTTCCAACATATACAGAAGAGAAATGATCAAAGTCTAGCTAATGTAGGACTCTAACATGCCCCCTCCAACTGAGGTTAGAACACAAAGTGTTGAGAGGGGGATAGACGAGTGCAGGTTGTCCAGAGTGTCAAGTTCCTATAGTGGTAAACTTTAACTCTGTTACCATGTGAGAATGTAGAACCCCGTTAGATTACTCTTCAAAAAACTTTTTTAGGAAATAATCGAGGTTCCAAACATATATAGAGCAAAATCCACGTCTAAATAATGTGAGACTCTAACAGATGTTTTTCTGGAAATATATGATAATTATATATATGACAAATACTTAAGCACGCCCCCTCGTCCTCTATCATTGGTCAGGTTTGAACCCTTGGCTTCAAAGGCTAGAATCTACCGGTTGGCCCAATGACCCCTTGGTATCATGGAGAATTTTCTTGCCACTACTTGTTAATTGCAAACATTCTTACAAAAATGCTTGGATTTTTTTATTAACCTCGATATCCAACCAACTATGCAAGCCGACTAATCCCAGGGTGACCACCTGCTTTGCAGATAGCCCGGAGTCACCGCACTTGAACGTCAGTGACCACAAGGGGATTTTTATTCCTCCTTGGATTTGAACCTAGGACCCTGGTACTTTTGACCTTTGGAGTCAAGCTCAAACCAATCAAGCAGGTTAAAATGCTTGGATTTCTAACCAACCAAACCAGTTTTTACCTAAAAACACCACATTCAAAATCCAACATCATGACAACAAATCAACCATCAAGAAACTGTAAATGAAACAGTTTCACAAAAAACCCGCCTCAAGGCGATAGCTTGGTCGACAAAAGGGAGGATAGTTTGGTCTCATGCGGTAGCTCTGTTAGCAAAGGGGCGGATAGTTCGCTCTCATGCGGTAGCTCTGTTAGCAAAGGGGCGGATAGTTCGCCCACGGTAGCTCAGTTGACAAAGGCACGGAGAAACTTTGCTCAAATACACAACATGTTCAAGTTTGAATTTGGACCCCTCCACTAGCCTTAACCTGAGATGACTCCTGGTGCCTAAGGGAGGGGCGGGGGTTCCGTGTGGGGGCCGATCGGTTGCTGATAATCACTCAAATATCAACCAAACCCAGATGGTAAAAAACATAAATTGATGAATTAAAAGCAGATAACAGCATAAAGATTCAATAACATCTTACAAGAAACACCCATAAAAGAAACACAAGAGAGAAATTAAAGAACATACAGTGGAGGTTCTTGAAGCATCATCCATGGCTGCCAATGCACATCATCATCATCATGTTGTATGTATGTATGTATGTATGATGATGATGATTGATGAATATATGAACACCCTTTACTTCAAGCAAGCATAAACCCCTTTTTATTTTACCTTCTTGGCTCACCTTTTTCTCTTTCTCTCTCGATGCTCCAAGTTGGTCCTCTTTTAGGTCGCTTCAAATGGAAAATTAGGGTTTCTTTTTTAATAATTTTAAAGATTTGTTGGGTTGCAATAATGGATTTCAATGGAAATAAAATGTATGTAGGTGAAGGCGGTGGGTGGATTCAAGAACATGGAAACCGATGCGTGTAGGGCCGTCGGTGATCTCGTCTGTATACCATGTTCCCTTTTGGATCATAACGTGGAAATATCAAAATAAATGGGGAAATTCATTCAAATCGTTATTTTGGGATGTTTTATAGTTGTTTTTGTGTTTATTAACGAATTTAATCCAAATTTTTGTAAGTTATATTACGTAAATTGTATTAAGGTTGTTTATGGGTTGAGTTGATCGGATTGAAAACATTTGCATAACTCAACTTAGTATTTACGGTTTAAAAAATCTTAACTTAAATCAAAGGTGCAACCCAACTCAACCCAAACCATACAAGTTGGTCGGGTTGTTATTTTGGTAAATTAAAATATTCTTCTAACTTTAAATATGTTATTTCTCAACTCATAATTTATTTTTTATCGTCAACCATTTGATACAGCTTACTTATACTTTTTAAATCTTACATATATTACATTCAATTAATTTTCTCAATTTACATATATATTTTCGTAGTAACTGAACATATATACGAATGAGTTATATAGAGATGGAGAATATATTGAAAATATGTGTATATGAAGAGGGTACATGATAGTGTCATTGTCTAATGTATATATTAATTGAAACCCAACAATCATATTAAATCCAAGAAATACAAGGATATCGGGTTCATCGGGTTAGGTTGTGTTCAAATAATAGTAACCCAGTTTCAATCTAATACTTACAGTTTGAAATTTTACAACTCGATTAGACACTGGTGTTGGGTTATTTTATATTGGATTGAGTTAGGTTAATCGGGTTGGTCAGGTTTTTAAGCACCTCTTAATTGTATAATCCACTTTTCGGTTTGGAATAACGTGGAAAAATGGGTATTACATAAGTGCTACTCCCTCCTACATTTACTTACATGATTTGTATAATGTCTATTTTTCTTTTCTTTTTTTTTAATTTCAAAAGTGGATTACACGACTTATATAATGTTTCTTTTTCTCAATGTTTAATCTGCAAGTGGATTACGATAAGTAGCGAATGTCACATGCTTAATTTCCAAATAATTCCTTCGGTGAATTCATATTGGAGGTTTGATCGGCTATTTTTGACTGGTTTTCTTGTTTTGAATTAAAATTGTAAGTATCTCGTAAATGTCGATTTTACAACTCGTGAAACGTATTTTCTATAAATAAAACAGGGGTTTTGACGTGGCATCTCGGAAGCCATTATACTTCCTTGTATATTTCGAATCAAATGACGAAAGTAAATCATCTATTATCGTACGTCACTTATACACTATTTAGGTGAGAGGTTGTTTGTTTACTCTTAATAGTTCTATTAAGAGGCAATATTTGAATCGTTAAGAGGTAAATCTTGTTTAAGAATTTTTTTTTTGGTATATTAATGGTTCTAAACCCTCTGAATGATTTTGTATCATCGGTCTCCCTTAAACATTTAGCATCCTAATTTCATTGTAAATAATTATCAAACAATTATATTTCATTTTACACTATATCATGGGAGTCTCTTAATCATTCTGATCGCTTATTCATTTTGCACTAAACCATTCAACAACTGTCAAACAGCCCCTGAATGTCCTCACAAAGTACTTATTAGCCAAATACCATGAAACAATGTGTAAAAGGTTGGTCTGTAAAACGTCGTGAGTTAGTTTAACTGACAACAGTTGTGGATTCTTTTCAGAGGTCATTGGTTTGAGTTCTACAAGACCAGTGAGATATTCTTGACGGTTCTTCGGGGCTGAGATTAGTCGAGGTGCATACAAGTGGGATCAAACACCACGGTTAAAAAAAGGCTTATTTGAAACCTCTACATAAAATTGTGATGTCACAATACTTACCTAATAAAGTCAATTATCATGATTCAAACATAAAAGGTAATTAAGGGGTTGTTTACTAACTGCGGACTCGACTGACTTGGTCAGTATAGCCGACTCAGTCAGCAATCAGTGTGTTTACCAAATCACGGATCTGACCGAGGTCTTATCTAACCAGTGTCTAATTCATACTTACTCGAAATGTTTACCAAATCACGGATTTGTAAATGTTTTTTACGCAAAAATATTTTACAAGTTTTTATAATTATAATATTTGAAATTGCACAATAAAATACACGTTACTTAAACCCGGTCTCTTTAAATATTACATTTACTGAAAAACCCGGTCTCTATTAGTCCATGTCTCTATCCCATAACCGATACCCTTCCGACACGAACCTTGAGTATTCCCGAAAAGTAGAACCGGTCCTGGATAAACCGGCCTTAACGGTCCTGATCCGGTTTCAGACCATGTTTGGCCCAATCATATAGAAGGGTATTTGGGCTTGAGTGGCGGCCCAGACCATAAATTCAGTTGCTTTTAAGAGCCCATTAGGGCCCAAATGCTTTCTTCCATACAAAAAAACACGGGGGAAACGATGGGGGATGATAATTTCCCTTTAAATTCTTTTCAAAATCTCTCCAAAGGGTTTCAGTCTTTGCCGGCGGAGGAAAAGGGGGGTTTTCCACCGGATAGAAGTTCAAAGCCGCGGTACACTTTGTTTCGTCTTTCATTTACTGTCTTACAGCATTAATTTCAGATCGTTATGTGTTTGATGAATTTAAAGGCTGGATCCTAGTAATATATGGCTGTTGATGCTAAAAACTAGGTCATTTTGCATCGGATGTGTGTTTCATCTCCTCTTAGTTACTGATTTTACTTTATCTTGTTGTTAAAAGAAGAATCTGAACTAAATCATCTGTGAAGTGGATGAGAAATTCAGTGAGGCCATGAGAGTTTTTGTAAATGATTACGATGATAAATTTGTACATCAGATGGATGAATTATTTTATAGAGATATATCAGTTGATTTTAGATTGAATAATGATGATGGTACACTTATGAGCTTACTGTGTTACTTCTTGTTAGAAATGTCTTATCGTTTAAGCTACTTAGACAGTGCTTTTGCTTTATGTGATAGTGAAAGGTAATTATTTAAATGTTGTTTAAATTTTGAAACTGGATCGTGAGATGAAGATTTGGGCCTTCATTCTGTTAATAATCCAAAGGTCAATCTTTATTCACAGTATTCATGGCAGAACTCCATGGTCATTTCTGTTTTATGGTCTTTCTTACTCCAATTGCTGGTGGTTTCTCTTGAAATTGAAGTGCATCATGACTGTTTTTTTTTTTTTGTTTTTTTTTTTGTTTTTGGTAAGGGTGTCCGGGCCAAAGCCCGACTAATTCCCGGGCAAATTTGGAGGCTAAACATGGCCTCACTTAAATGTCGCCAACACTCCCCTCCCAGGGCTCGAACTCGGGTTCATGACTATCCCATGCCCAAGCCTTTAACACTAGGCTGAAAGGTCTTTGACCATCATGACTGTTATATGTTTATAATATCACTTAACCTGGAACACAAACATAATTGTGATAATTAGAAACTCAATAGATTCAACAAGATATTGAATATAAAATACGCCATACCTTATTCCACGATTATCAATAGGGAATGTTGGATTGATTGGTTCATTCTAATCAATCCACACCCTCTAATTCATGTATGCTAATCTGCAATCATTTATGATTTTGCTGATGGAATAGTGATGATGTTTTAGAGGTTTGATAGTATTGGGGAATCTAATCCTTGGATAATCATCAATTGGTTATTATATATGTATTTATGTAAATTGGTTCATCATCAATTTAGTAAATACATTCCAATTGAAAATTCATTTGTTACCCCGTCCAACATGTAGTGCATTTCTATCACCAATTTTCATAAGTTGTATGCTTTATACTGTGTATTCTTATGCTTGATTTTGTAAATCTTATTAAGCTGAAAATAACAAAAACATGGTGCTCATGTTTGTTTTCTAATGTTTTAAAACCATTTTGCATTTAGTATGGGTACAAGTACAATGGTGTGTTCTTGTGTATTATCCTTCTTCTTGCATCCTCTCAACTTATGGAAGTGTATTAGAGCAATTGCTGAATGCCTGAATTCATATGTGATATGTACATAGCTGTGCATTTAGTGTTTGGACAAGGTCTGATGTTGCTCGTCTTTCTTGCAATTTACAGCGGTCGTCAAGCTGACATCTTTTCTAGCTAGACATACAATTATTTCAGTCTTCTTTTTTACCTTTTCAGTTGACATGCATTGCCTTCCTTGCTACAAACGGAGACTCCTCTCTTATAAGCCGTCCCAAAATATATTTTCACGATGAAAAAGGCACACAATTTTAAAATTGTATGATTATTATGAACTATTCTTAGTGGGTTCTATTGGTGCAATGGTTCATGTACATCACACTTTGTGGATGTTTTGTACGTTTGGTACAAGGGACAAGACGATACAAAAATTTGGTAGTCTCATGTTTGGCATGACATTAGACTTGGACTAGACAGGATCCGAGTAGGACAAAAAGACATTTTTTTGTCCCACCAAAATAGGTGGAACATAAATCAGGAAGATGAGACAATATCGGTACATTACTGAACTACCCATGTCAAGTTAAAACCCTAAAACCTATTGGTATTCTTTCATCCCACTCTTGCTCTCCCAATACCGTCTGCGTTACAAACACGCCCTTAGCGGCGAGTAGTCTGTGATTTATGTGCACATGTGCTTGGTAGGAGTCGGAAATTCATTATCTGATGCAAATAGTGATACGCCCTCTAGGATATGCTTTAGCCCCTTTGATATATGCTAGGGTCTTTATATTGAATTTGTTATAACCTTATTAGGTTTTGATTTTGTAGATTACTAGATTAGATCTTGAAGCTAAATATACTTGCAATTCATATGGTTTCAGGTTAGTTCGATATGGATTCTACTGCAGCCACTCGCTTGCGCTCAATTAAGTTGTGGCCTCCTAGCCATAGCACGCGGCTTGTGCTCGTGGAGCGTATAGTAACAAATCTCACCACTCCATCCATTTTATCTAGGAAGTATGGTCTTTTAAGCAAGGAAGAAGCAGAAGAAGAGGCTAAACAAATAGAATCTTCAGCCTTTGCCACTGCAAACCTGCACTTTGAAAAGGAGCCAGATGGTGATGGAGGATCTGCTGTGCAACTTTATGCTAAAGAATCCAGTAAACTTATGGTGGAGGCTGTTAAAAAAGGCCCTAAATCAAATGGGATTGAAGAAGCCATATCTGAGCCAGTTACAGCTGACCATGAAAGTGTCTTTTTTGACATTTCTGGAGGGCGTCGAGCCTTCATCGAGGCAGAAGAGGCTAAAGAACTACTAAAACCGCTTAGTGACCCGGGAAACAAATACAGAAAGATATGTTTTAGCAATAGAAGTTTTGGGTTGGATGCAGCCCATGTAGCTGCACCCATTTTGTCATCTTTAAAGGGCCAATTGACCGAAGTTGACCTATCAGATTTCATTGCCGGGAGGCCAGAAGCCGAAGCTTTAGAAGTTATGACCATGTTTTCAGCTGCCCTTTCGGGTTCTGAACTCAGGTATCTGAATCTTTCAAATAATGCATTGGGCGAAAAGGGGGTTCGGGCATTCAATCAGCTTTTGAGTTCACAAGATAATCTTGAAGAGTTATATCTGATGAATGATGGTATCTCAGAAGAAGCCGCAAAAGCAGTTTGCGAGTTAATCCCTTCCACAAAGAAACTAAAGATTCTTCATTTTCATAACAACATGACCGGAGATGAAGGTGCGATCGCCATTGCCGGACTTGTGAAAGAATCTCCGATTCTGGAGGATTTCAGGTGTTCATCCACACGGGTTGATTCCGAAGGCGGAGTCACCCTTTCTGAAGCACTTGGAACTTGCACCCATCTGAAAAAGCTTGATCTGCGTGACAATATGTTTGGAGTCGAAGCTGGGGTTGCTTTAAGTAAATCCGTACCTGTTTTTGTCAATCTGACCGAGGTTTATCTCAGTTATTTGAACTTAGAGGATGAAGGAGCTTTAGCACTTGTCAATGCTTTAAAAGATTCTGCTTCTAAACTTGAAGTTCTGGAAATGGCTGGTAACGATATTTCATCTGAAGCAGCTCCAGCTTTCGCAGCCTGCATAACCGCAAAGAAACTTACTTTAACCAAATTAAATCTATCCGAGAACGAACTGAAGGATGAAGGTGCGATAGTGATCGCCAAGGCACTTGAAGACGAGTTTGGGCAGTTGACCGAAGTTGACCTGAGCACCAACGCAATCAAAAGGGCTGGAGCTAGACGTTTATCTCAGGCTGTTGTCGGTAAACGGGGCTTTAAGCTGCTAAACATTAATGGTAACTTCATATCTGATGAAGGGATTGAGGATGTGAAAGAGATTTTCAAGAGTTTTTCTAGTGTTCTTGGTCCGTTGGACGAGAATGATCCTGATGGAGAAGAATACAACGAAGAGGATGATGGTGATGCAGAAGATGGCGGTGATAACGAAGATGAGTTGGAAGCGAAGCTCAAGGATCTTGAAATCAAGCAGGACGAATAGGGTCGTTTTGCGGTATGACCTCAAAACTTCACTTTCCAATCTATGGTTAGATTTACCATTTTCTTGTGTGATATTCACAATCTAATCCAGAATTAGCTTGAATGCTATGTTCTCATTCTATATTCAAACCTCTAGGTTCTATGTACTATTTAAACTTTACAACTTGGTGCTTTTTTGTAATCGTAGTTTTGTTTTAGAAATTAGTTGGCACACTCTTAAAGTCATCGTATCAAAATCTTGCAAGCAGATGGCCATGCCCATTTCTGCTTTCAAGATTGTGCATTAGCCCTTTACCCATCTTGGAGCTATGGGTGCACATGGGCTGTGTTTGGATTAAAACCCAACCCAACTCAACCCGTTAGAAAGTATAACCCTGACCCAACCCATTAAAAAGTATAACCGTGGGTTGGGTCAGCGGGTTATACAATACATAAAGTTTATAGAAGAAAAGAATTGAAATCTTATTAAAAATTTACCAGTCATTCATATATATATTTATAACTATCAATGTAATGTGCAGTGAGACAAATATAAGCCATTTGTGTAGAAGATGTCAAACAATTAGTGTTGAACATGCTCTTTGTCCATCCTTGGTTAACTCGTTCAGTTTAGTCCTCTTGTCACAAATGAGTCAATAGATATCCCTAGTAACGGTCATTCTACTAACGATAACAAACCTAGGTTGCAACTCCTCAACCGGTTCAAGTTCATCTTTCACCATAAGTATGGTCATGGCTTTTCGACTTCTTTTCTTATTAAGTGACATCTAACCATCATCGCTAGTGTGAACACTAAGCAATTTTATTTTTATCACACGCTGCATCCGATACTTCTTACATTACTTTTTTAGGTAGGCCCAAAAAGTACGTGTGCCAATTCTATTACCATCATAAGTATAGTCTTTTCCACAATAATTTCAAATTTTTTTACGAAGTGATCCCATACAACAGGACCCGTTTGGTTTGTAGGATAGGATCTGATTTGTAATTGGATTTCATTTCAATCCATGTTTAGTTTAAAACAGAGTCCGGAATTGAATCCTATTAGGGTAGTTGGTATTTCACGAGGTTTCATAGGATTTGTTTGAAATAATGTTTTAAAATATGTTAAAAGTATTTGTTTTGTATAATCACTTAATAGAATGTAATTTAATTATTTTTTATATTTATTTATAATTTCTTTTAAATTATTTCTAGATTCCAAACCAATCACTTCAAAAATTCCATATCCCTTCACTTCCAAATATTTTTGATTTCAGCTTCTTCGACGAAATCTAAATCACTCAAAAACATTCCGTCAAACCAAACACCCCTTTAACAGTCCTATCTCCCTTTTTTAGATGTGTTTCACCCATCTTTGTTTTCACATCGCATTTAGGTTACGTTGAAGTATTTTCCATTGCTCGATTCACTCTTTTACATATTACAGTAAAAATAAACACTTAACAATTAACTGAATTTACCAGAGATTACACCTATTGATGCAATGGAACATGGGTCGCACATAATAATCCGATTACATTTGCAAGAAAACTGAACATAAACTCATAGACTTTCCTGTTTTGGCTTATCAGACGCTTACGGGTACTTTCAGGGATTCTATTATCTTGTCATCAATATCAAATGTCATGGCCTTCTTGTCTCTCCCTATCTTCACATACTCTTCAAATCTCTCCTTCAAATCTTCAGGTAGATTTGTGGCACTTTGCCATCCTAGAATGTCCTTTGCAGCTCTTGGTTCTGCATAGAAATGCTGCAAAACCACAATATACTGTTGTTACTATCTTGCACATTTAAAAGGGTATATCACGTGCAAAATCACATGTGATTTTACATTAACGGTGAACACAAAGGTGTGCACGCGACGTGGCCATGACCTGAGTCGCATGAACCAATGTGATTAAGCCGTTTTCTTATTCTCTCATTTGGTTATTGTTCTAGTATGAACCTAACTCTCCCTCCCATATATGTGTGTGTGCGCGTGCAGTTTCGTTACTGCCCATGGCGCGACACGTGTCATATTCATCATGAGTGTTGCAACATATTCATTGTGAATGTGTGATTCATAACGAGTAACATGCTCATATCCATCCTGAAGGACACGTGGTAGGTTGTAGGCGATTTTCGGGTTTCACCATAACTTTGATGCTCACTAAAACCCAACCCTACGCTGCTAATGCTAACATACATCACAATTGACAAACTAAACTGACTAGCAACCGTACATAAATACAGTTCTAATATCCTGCTATACGGTTTGTAGATTGTGAGTATTCATACCATATTGCGAAAAGGGAAAGCTTTCTTTGCATCACTTCCAATGGTTTTTGGATCGTAGTGCACGATCTCAACCGGCAAACCTGCTGCTTTAGCACATAATTTGGCCATTCCATCTAGTGTCACGGCTCGATCGCTGACACAGTTGAAGATATTCCCACTTGCAGCAGTCGGATTCTCGACTGCTTTTGTTAGCATAGACGATAAGTCCTTAACGTGGGAGATGTTTGTTAGTTGCATACCCGAGCCTGGGATCGGAACTGGCCTTCCCCTCACGATACCTGTTTTTAAATGTAGAAATGCATCGATATTTGAACCAAAAAACAAACCAAACAAACCCAGTATATTCTATCTGGAAGTAGGGTTTGTGTAAGTATGAGTGCGATACTTGAAGTGGGCCCCACCTTTTTCGAAAACCTGGATGTTCTGAATGTAGACCCCACCCTTTTTTTAAAAAAATTGATTATTCTCGGAGCATCTTTAACAAATTCTTCAGAATAAAGATTTTGGGGATTTTTGCTCTTATAAATTCCTCAAAACCTTCTTCAAAATGGAGAGGATAAGATTCTCCAAATTTAAAGAACTGTTCAAAAATGATTACCATTGTGGATGCTTTTAATCAGTCTCTCAAGAGAGACTGATGTTAAAATCGATATTAAACGTGACGATTTATTTTGAGGGTGGGTAAGACTTACGATCAAAGAACCACTCTTCGCAGTCTTTGTTGTTGCCAGAACCAATCATGTATTGTGGGCGAAAGCTTGCCCAGTTATCGAAAACCTCCGAGAGGTATTTCTCTACTGCAACATGACCCGCATCCGCTTTGACGGCATCCTATCATTATTGACAAAAAATTACACCTTTTTCGACTCAACAATACTACATGTTTTTTTTTAATCATTTTGAACCATTATATTCTACATTTAGATTTTAATCAACATGTAGGTCTACATAAAACTCCAATTACTGTCTATAGTGTTTTTCCCCGTAAAGAGAACACTGTCATTTTGCATGAACACGAGAACACTTGAAACATGCGACTATTACATGAGATAAACCGGTGATACACATATGACAGACACGTGCGACCTTGGCCACTAATTCCTCTCCGTATAGTATCACATGTGATGGTTGTTTGTTTCATGTGTTTTTGTATTCTTGTAAAATGGTATTGTTCTCGTTTGAACCTCCACCTATCTACTTGTCATTCTCTTATGTTTCTTACTATTTTATAATCCCGTTTTATCTTACCTTTTCGCTCAAAGAATTCCACAAGCATCTTCATGGAAACAACCGCTCTATCTTTTGGGGTAAATGACAAATCTGTATGCAATTACATCCCACCCCTCAATATATATATTGTATATTGCCTTTCTCTGTTACGTATTTGGCTTAATCAAAGCGTTACATTTGCTATTTTCTATCACCTCGAAGTATTTTTTTTTGTCTGTATATATACAAATAATGCAGCTCTTTTGTATAAAAAATCGGTGATTAAAATATAACGATTTGAGATAAAGGCGAGTACCCCTTCAACGTGTGGTGGCTCTTCGGTTTGCTTATAAATTCCAGCACTGCTGATGAACAAAAACTGTCCTACACCTGAACTCTTTGCCCAATCTGCCACTGGCCTGCAATTAATCAAGGTTCCGATATCAGTAGTAGTCTCACATGAGTTAGACACTAATTATCAAAACATCAATTAAACATAGATCACCAAACTTGTATATACCTATCCTTTTTATAGGTGTTTTTTTTATAGAGAGAATCAAAATTGAAAGGGATGTTAATTCCATATCGCGTATTAGAGATGGAAAAAAAAACCAAGCCCGAAAACGCCCCTAAAAAAAGCTCGGGCCGGTGAGAATGAAGCCCAATCTAGTCAAGGCCTTAAAACCAATAAGACCGGAACTTAGGCCCGGTCAGAAGAAGCCTGTTTAAGTCCTAATAGCTTGTGCTGAGTGAGAGCGAAGCCCGGCCTGAAAAGGCCCGGGCCTAGTGAGCACGAAGCCCCGGTCAATACGAGGCCTCAAAGCCCAACTAGGCCGATTTTTTTTAGGCAGCCTGATTAGGAGAAGCCTGGTTAAGTCCTAAAAAGCTTGTGCCGAGTGCCGACTGCCGAGTCATCTTGAAGCCTAGTCCTGGCCAAGCCTCAAAGGTCGATTAGGCCAATTTTTTTAGGCAAGCCCGACTTGGAAAAAGCCTAGTTAACCCAAAAAAACTCAATTTGATTTGGTCTTTTTTTTTTCCAACCCCAAAGCTCAGCCTAACTGGAGCCTAAAACATAAGTCTTTTTTTCTTACTAAAAACGGGCTTGGAAGGCCCAGACCCAAGCCTAAAAAAGCTCGATTGGGCCTTTTTCAACTCAAAGCCGGGCCAAACCTAAAAAAGCCCAGGCCTTTTTTTCACTCACTAAAGACGGGCTCGGAAGACCAGACCTACCTAATAAAGCCCGAGCCTTCTGCATCTATAGTTCCACTTCCACATATCTTACAATCATATAGTGTTTAAATCACTTGAATGTGGCATTGCAAATTGAGCAAAACAGACCTGACAGCATCCAAATCTTTGCCATTGTTATCCAAAACAACATCAAATGTCAATCCTTCCAAAACTGTTCCAATTGCACCAACATCACCCCATACTGTCTTACCACCACCATCCACAATTTCCTGCAACATTATTCCTAATCATTTAATGCCACAAAAAGATCAAAATTTCGTGCCAAAACTTGTTGATCGATGGATATTCAGATCGTGTTCCAGTTCGACTAATAAAAGCACATTTCTTGATACAAAAAGAACCGTTGTATCAATGTTAAGTTCAAAAATGTTGAGATTCACAACAGAGATGCACAAGGCCCGGCTTGTTTCCGTGAGGAAAAAAAAGGGTCAATCGGGCTTTTTCCAGGTCCATTCGGACCAGGCCTCATGGCCTTGCAACCAAGCTTTGGGCTCACCTGGCCCGGGTTTTTTCCGGCCAGCGTCGGTTTGAGCTTTTTTGTGCTAAAACTTGTTTAAATTCACTTCACAAGAGTGCAACACCCATGATTTCTTGAAAACTGTTACAACAAAGATCACAATTTCATGCTGAAACTTGATGAAAACTGATCAACACCCAAGATTTCTTGAAATCTCCCACAACAAAAAACCACATTTTCATGGTGAAACTTGATGAAATCAACAACACCCACAAAAAAATCTCACATTTTCATAGCAAAACCAATGAAAATCCACAACACCCAGAAACCAAAACACATCAGAATCATAAATCAAAAGCAATGGAATCAGTAGTATTTACAGAGAATCTTGAGAATGGAGGCTTCTTCATCTTATCAGAACTCTCATCACCAACAGTCAGAATGGTGACATCATGACCACAACCCAGAAGCTGTTTAGCAAAATAGAAGCCAATTACAGCATGACCACCACTGTTGGTGTTAACAATCAGCACTTTCTTCTTCTCTGAAGCAGCAGCAGCAGCATTGACTGTGAATGAGGAGAGAGAGAGTCTCTTTGAAGAGAGAGAGAGTCTCTTTGAGAGAGATGAGAGAGAGATGGAAGAAGATAAAGAAGCAGAGGAAGAGAAAGAGAGAGAGAGGGAGAGAGAGATGGGAGAGAGAGATGGAGGAGAGAGATTGGAGAAGAGGAGAGAGGATGTAGAAGATGAAAGAAGAGTGGCCATTGATAGTCTCACCTTTCTTTAGAACCAGCAGTTTGTGATCTCATATATAAGTAACACAAGACTAAATTACCATTTCAGTCCCTGTAGTTTAGAAAATATGATTTTCATTCTTATAATTTACAATTTATTGTTTCTTTTTTATACCTGAACTAATTCATACCTACAAATATAAGAGACCAAAACAGTAACGAATTGTAGACTATAAAAACTGATATAAGGACAAAAACAGTAACAAATAATAAACCGTAAGAACGAAAACTGTGATTTCTAAATCACAGGGTTGAAAATCGAAATAATTAACAAACTACAAGAACAAATATCGTAATTTATTCAACATATCATCACACAAAGAGAGATAAAGCCATAAAGATACCAAGACAAATTCTTTGGCTACCCTTTTATACCAAGTTAAAATAAGAGTAAATTACGGTTTTGCCCCTTTGGTTTGTTAAAAATTAAGATTCTCGTTTTAACGGTTTAAAAAACTATGGTTTTTGTCTCTATGGTATGTAATTTATTGCTATTGTTGTCTTTATGATTCATGATTTATCGTTATTTAAGTCTATGAGGTTTACAGTTCTTTACTATCTTGGTCCTTATACGCTAAGGTAAATATTAGTTCAAAGATGAAAATAACAATAAGTTATAAACTATATGGATGAAAATTGCTAACTTCTAAACCTCATGGACAAAAAATAGATTATTAACAAACCAGAGGGATAAGAATTGTAATTTACTTTTAACATAAAAATGGATTTTTAAATAAATCCTTTTTTGGTTAAATTGTATGTTAAATTTTGAGTAAATTATCGTTTTCTTCTTTATGGTTTGTTAAATTTTATTTTTTTAGAAGTGTATACTGTAAATAAAATAAATAAACTCAAATATCCTTCTTAAATTTAGTGAGGTTTGAACCTCTGACTTTTTAAGAGGCAAAAAACTCGCATACCGCTTGGCCAAATACCATTTGGTATGATTTATTAAAGTTTGTGACATCGTTCTTATAGTTTTGAAATTACGGTTTTCATCCATATAATTTGTGATTGATTATTATTTTCATCCATGAACATGATTTCTACCTTTAAAGACAAGAGATGAAAACAACAATAAATTGTAAATCACCTGAAAGAAACAACAATAAATCATAATTCAAAACCGTAAGGGTGGTGCCTGACTGGTTTGAGTTTGAGCTCCAAATGTCAAAAGTGCTTCGAAGTCTCATGTTCAATTCAAAGAGAAATAAAAATCCCCTTGTGACCAAGAAGATTCAAATGCGGCGACTCACGGGTGGTTGCCCTGAAATCAGTCTGCTCGCATAACGAATTGGATATTCAGGTTAATAAAAATCATAATTTAAAAAGAACATAAACAACAATAAATTAAAAATTATAAAACTAAAAACCGTGATATTAAAATAACGAAAACAACAACTTTAAAAAAAACCCATGGAAGAAAAACATAATTGAAATAGAAATTTGACCAAAATTCAAATTATTATTGAAAATAAAAAAGAAAATAAGAAATGAATATTGATTTAGAGCCGTTAGATTCCTTGGAATCCAAGCTCCAAAACACCAACACATATCTTCCATTAATAACGTTACCCTCTTGTCAACCTCCCTTATTCAAACCCACTTTAACTCTCTTCAAACTAGCCGTTTGCTCTTCAAACCTCCAATGGCAGCAGCTTCCATGGAATCCCAATCTCCAAATCCCCTTATCAAGGTCTGTTTCTATCGAGTTCCAATTCCTTGTCTTTACAGAAATACCTAAATTTTGTTTTCCAAATCGCAGGAATCAAATACCATCATGAGTTCGTGCTCGTCTCCAATCATCAGTCCGGTTTCCGATAAGCTTTTCTGGAGCAATCTTAGGAATCGGATCGATACTCTTCTCGAGAATCGGAAAGATCAGTCTCTGGTAAGTGGATTCTAAATCGATTACTGTAGGTTTTCGTTTTAGGGTTTTTATTTTATGTTGATTTTGGGAAATTTTGTGTAGAATTATGAAGAAGGGAGGAATCGTTCTAAACGATTGAAGGAAGATTCGTTGCTTTTGTTAAGAGGATTTGATTCTGTTGCTAGTTCTCTTTCTCAGCTCTCTAACAATCTGGATAATGCACTTCAGGTAGTGATTTGATTAATCTGAAATCTGCTGTTCTTTACATTTTTTTGATCTTGAAATTGGGGAAAAGGAGACTGTTTTTACTTGTTTATTATCTTTTGTTTGAATGATTGTTTTCGGTTCCTTGAAATCTCAAAAATAATGTTTTTTCATCAAAGATCTTGTTTCTCATGAGTTATATCTTGATTGATACATGTGATTCTGCTTGGTTCTCTTTGTGATATTTTTGGCCTATGTTTGGAAAACAAGTTATAAAGCTTAGCTTAGTTGATAGCTGATAAACCGGTCATGTTTGGTAGATACTAGATAAAAAGCTAGCTTAGCTTAGCTTAGCTGAAAATGGTGGTGTCTGATTGGTTTGAGTTTGGCTCCAAAGGTCAAAAGTATCGGGAGGTCCCAAGTTCAAATCCAATGAGGAATAAAAATCCCCTTGTGGCCACGAAGGTTCAAATGCGGTGACTCCGGGCTATCTGCAAAGCAGGTGGTCGCCCTGGGATTAATCGGCTCGCATAGCGGGTTGGATATCCAGGTTAATCAACTAGACTTGGTTTATATATATTGGAACTTTCCTCATCTTTTTAAGGACTCTTTTGGAGAGTAACGTAATGGTTTAATGGGGTTCCACGTCTTCTCATAAAGATGACCTAAAAGAACAAGTTGAAAAATGTAAGTGGCATAATTGGAAAAGGGTGGAATTGAAATCGTAGTTGGTATTTCACGGGATTTCATTTGATTTGTTCGTAATAATGTTTTAAAATATGTTAAAAAATTGTGGCTTTTGTGGATTCTGTTGTGAATAATCTTTTTATTTTACAGGGAGCCAAAGATCTTGGTAGACCACCAACATTATCTGATGTTCTTCACAGTTCTCTAGAACATGCAAAAAGAAACCAGAATTCATCAAAGGATGAAGATGAAGTTGAAGATGATCAGAATCTTGAATCCAACAAAAGAGGGTTGAAAAGAAAGATGGAATCAGAAGAAGCTTCTGATGAAAACCAGAGAGAGTTTGGAAAGCTCAACAGAGCCAAAAATGTCAGTAAAATTCTTCTATAATTATGCCTACGGGTGTAAACGAGCCGAGCCGAGCCGAGTAGCAGGGCTTGAGCTCAATTTCGAATATCTTTTTGACTTTTCTAATGGTTCTATAAAATTCTAGATTGCGATATCAATGGCGAAAAAGGCGGGTTTCTTGGCTCGTGAAGTGAAATTGATGAAATCGGATCTTTGTTTTATTCAAGAGAGATGCAGCATTCTTGAGGAGGAGAACCGGCGGCTTCGCGACGGATTTGTGAAAGGAGTTCCACCTGAGGAAGATGATCTGGTATGGTTCAAATCTCCAACTCATTACACTCTTTTTTACACCATAAACATCAATTTTTTTCCATCCCATTATGGAGATTTCTGATCTTTTTGTCAAAATCTACAAGAAAATTTCTGATATCGAACATTACAATATTAATTATATTCTTAAAATATTCGATACCTTTCATAAAATATTATTCATCTGTATTACATTGTTTTTATGTTATTTTTTCCAACCCGTTACAGTATTTGTTACACTAAAATAGAATATTATCGGTTTTTACGCAGTTTTGGTGTAAAATGACGTAAATAATACAATTCTTTTTCAGTCCATTATAATATTTCTTACACCAAAATAGAATATTTTCAGCCTATTAATCGGTCCCTAAGGAACCCTCGAAAGGTCTGCCGAAATAGGCTATTTTGGTGCAAATTATATTGTTATACTTTTTGAACGAAGTACATAAAAAATGTCATCGTACAACGGTATATTTAACGAGTGAAATTAAAATGTTATTCTACAAAAGTAAAGTAAATCTCACACCAATTTGTACCTTCGAAACTTTAACGCCAAATACAGTGTTTTATCATATTTGGAAAATTGAACGATTATGTTGAATGTGTAGGTGAGGCTTCAATTAGAGGCATTGCTTGCCGAGAAGTCAAGATTAGCGAACGACAACGCGAATCTAACGAGGGAAAACCAGTGTCTCCGCCAGCTTGTGGAGTATCATCAACTTACTTCCCGCCAAGAGGAGGAAGAGGTGGTGGAAGACGATTATGAAGACGTGATTAGGGGTGTGTGTTTGGACTTCTCGTCACCACCACCAACACCGCGCATGCCGGAAAATCTTGCCGGAGATGGTGTCGTAAAAAACCCGCAAATTGTAACAGATTTATGAGGTCTTTTGTTGCTTGTAACAACGACCAAAAAAATGTATTGTTGTGGATTTCTGGTCATAATGGGAAAAGAACTTTTGCTCATTTACTAGAAAAATAACTAAAATGGCCATCGAATTTGGTCATAGTGTTTATTTACATCAAATTAGCGTAAATTTATTGAAAATGACAAAAATACCCTTCTCTTGAAATATGTAGAAATTAAACATTTACGATATTTATATAAGGTGCACAATTTCTCTATGTTTCAACCTCTCGTTCATATTATATATATATATATATATATAAACATATAATCACATATATACTTCTATCTGCAAACCCCCCCCCCCCCCCCTCACCCCCTCGTTTTCCGACAAACACGTCGTGACATGGGAAAAGGCCAATGAGACGTTTCAGGAGCTAACTAGAAAAGCTATAGATGATAAGTGAAAGGAAGCAAACAACAATTGAGATGATAGAGGCAACAAATGTGTCAGAGCTCGATAACCAGAAGCATTACAATCCACCGAATCCAACTCTTCAATGTTTTTTCGAACTCATCATCTCTACTCAAGTTTGTCGCATTTTCATTGATTTTATAATGTAAATAATCTACCCTCTCGGATATACACGATTTATAACGCAATTTAATTATTTATTAGCAAATACGTCGACGTTTAACACTACTCTTGAGGGTTTGAAGGGTAGCATCAATGGTGGGCAAGATTGGCCTCAGACCGCCGGGGAAGGAAAAGAAAGGAATGACGTGATGTCACCTTATTTAGCACTTGAAATAAGTTCTTAAGTAATAGGTAAAAGGACCAAAATGCCCTTCGCTTAACGGACTCTTTTAACGAAGATAGCATCAAGGACCTATTCCGTGACTATGATGACCACCGATGTAATTAATGCATTTGAAAGACCTGATCTATATTCGAAAAGTACAAGGACCAAAAATGCAATCCACTTCTATCGAAGAAAGAGTAAATTACGTTTTTCATCCCTATAGTTTGTTAAAATTTACGACTTTCGTCCTTATGTTTTTTTCTTCCATTCTCGTGGTTTTAAAGTTACGGTTTTTGTGCACGTGGATTACAATTCATTAATATTTTCATTTATAACTCTTACCATTGAAGTATAAAATATGAAAACAACAATGAATTGTAAATCATAAAAACAAAAATAACAATAAATTTAAATCACAAGACCAAAAAAAAAAAAAAATTATAAACCAAAAGACTGAAAATCATAATTTCAAAATTACGAGGATAAAAATAGCAATTTTGTTAACAATAGGAAATTAATTAAAATAATCATTTTCAAACTTTGGATTCATCTCTTAGCAAATTCTCTCACAATATTTTAAAAATATCACTATCTCTACAAGTAACAACTTCTCAATTTATGAAGGGGTTAAAATGTAAAAAAGAAGTTTCTGAACCAAATCCGTAAATTAGTCCCAACACTTCTGCAAGTGACAACAGTGTTTTATCTAATTTACAGATTTGGTTTGCATTTTCGGATCTGGTTCTGGTTTTCTTTTACATTTTGATACCTCCGCAAATTACAGAAGTGTTATTTGTAGTGGTAATGATATTTTTAAAAAAATTCAGAGAAAAATGACTATTTTTATTAATTTCGTAGGATGAAAGCTTGATTGATTTCATTTTTGTTTGTTACTCCAAAATTTGTACGTATTTAGAAATTGTGATATGACAAATGTATTTACATGTAGTATTGGAATGCTAAAAAAAAATTGATATCATGAATTAAATAATTTAATTTTTTTAATTGATTTATTATATTTGATAATCACTATATACTATATGATATAAAATAACATTAAACAACATTTAAAAATAATATGATTATTTTAACACTTTTGTATCATTTCATTAAAATTAGTAGTGTATTTGTCAAAAACCCACGCAAATAGAAAATGTGGGAGGCGGGAATGAAAAGGTTTTCCCACTACCGACAAATGTTTCAGAAAGATAAGGAAAAAGGAAATCTCAGTCCACCATATCTTCAACAGAAATCTCACAGATAACACACACCCACACACACCATTTTTCTGTATGAACGTCTTCCCTGATTCAAATCCCTAATGGTATCCCTCCTTCACCACTCAATTTCATTCCACCTGCCATCCCACCGTCCTCTATTCACCCACCACCACCACCATTTTCGTCCTCCATCTCTTTTCCAACTCCACACACGTCGTTACACCACTTCTATTACCAACTGCATCGAAAAGAATGGCTCGTTCTTATCCAGTAGCAAACAAGATCAACAACCCCAAAGAACGCTGTTCCCTGGCGGTTACAAGCGGCCCGAGATCAAAATTCCCAATGTTGTGCTTCAATTGGACCCCGAGGATGTGCTGGATGATGGAAATAGAGTTGTTGAGGTTGTTGATGAGGCCGTTTCTGGTTTGGTTGGGATTGTGGTGTTGAATTCCGGTGAAGGAAGTGGGAGGAACTTGTATGACGCTGCTTGTTTGTTGAAATCGGTGATTAGGGATCGGGCTTACTTGTTGATTGCAGAGCGAGTTGATATCTCTACCGCTGTTAATGCTAGTGGTGTGGTGGTTTCCGATCAAGGTTAGAATATTTTCGTCTTACTGTCACTGATATTTGCCCTATTTTGAAACGATTTCTACCTTTTCCGATCTGAATTCATCAGCGGTTATAAGATGCCATTATCTGACCTCATATCATGACAACTTTACTCATCCTGGACTTGATCGAAAATCAACCAAACCACCCCTTAGTCATATATGGGTTAAGTTGTCTATTTGGAGAAATTTTTCTTTTTGAATGATGAGACACTGATGGATTTGAGGGAGGCAAAGAGAGAGGGTTGGATTATTTCTGGACATTTATGGTTTTAGTTTGCTTGAGGTGGCTTAATGGGGACAAATGAGGGGCCTGGGCTTACTCCACATAGCCATTTTGGCTTAACGGCTTAACGATTAGCTGTTAAGGAACACTTCTGTATGGCTGAGCGACTAAACCGCCCGGACCATTAAGCGCATTAAGTTGTAAGCAAGGGGGAAAAGATAATCATGGAGATGAAGCAAGATAGGTAAATTATTAAACTACTCATGTTAAATTAAAACCCTAAAACCTTCCACTATTCTTTCACCTGCCAACCTTTCGGTCATGTCCGTGTACCAAACGTACCCATTAATGCTTTCTTTTGAAGACCCTTTTGTGCAAAGTAAATTTTCATTCAGAAATCATGGTCTTTGTTTGGCATGAAATTTTGTAAATCTTGAGCTAGTGAGCTTTAGAATATGCCATAGAATTGATTTGTTTGTGGTGGGAGCATGCTTATTTACTCTAAGTTGAAACAGGTTTACCCGCCATTGTTGCAAGAAATACAATCATGGATTCAAAATCCGACTCTGTGTTTCTTCCTTTGATTGGAAGAAAGGTGCAAACTTCAAATGCTGCCATGAATGACTCTAGCTTTGAAGGCGCTGATTTTCTAATCTATGGTAATGATGGAGGAGAAAGCATAGAGGAATTGTCTGTTTCTGTGATCAATCAGATCAAAATTCCAACATTTGTGACGGTTGATTCCGTTGATAAAGATAAATTATTCAATGATATTTCATATACCTTACAATCTGGTGCAAGTGGGTTGGTTGTTTCATTGGAAGGACTGAAGCTGCTAGGCAACGACCTTTTGAACAAGATTTATAGCATGCAGGCATCAAATAAAAAACCAGAAGCTTTACGTGATGGTTTAGAGTTGGAAATGGCAAATGGGTTTTCAGGTGAAAAGGGGTTCACTGGATTTGCCAAATTGGAGGATAGAGAAGCAGTGTTGATAGAAACTGAGAGATCGCTGCTGCTTGAAGCTATAGATGTTATCCAGAGAGCTTCGCCTCTGGTGATCTTCTAATCTTAAAATTTGGTAGCCAAATGTCCTGTATGTTTTTTTAAATCCGTGACCTTCTGACAAGTTTGAGAATGCCACTGTTTGACAGAAGAATGCCACCTCGACACAATTCCTCTCAAGGTCATGGATTTAAAAAACACTTGTCAAAAGATCATTTAGCTGAATAACCCCTTTTCTTCGTTTACACTCATGAGTTGGTATGATGGTCTATTTACATCAGATGGAGGAAGTCTCGCTTCTCAGTGATGCTGTTTCACACCTCAGTGAGCCCTTCTTACTGGTTATAGTGGTAATTGTGCGCTGAACTTCAACAACTTCTGGTTGCGCGGGTAGACATTGGTATTAGCTCTGAATTTCAAATGATTTTCTTTTATATTTTGTTTCAAAATCATTTTCAACTGACTTTAATACTTACATAGATACTAGTCTAAAACCAGGAATTAACACTTGGTCTAGTGCCCTAAACTAGTATCATTAACATTAGGATTAGCAGTTTGTTTCAAGTCGTTAAAGGAGAATTCACCAAATAAAAATAGGGGTGACAAGGGAAAAGAAAATCTGAAACTTCAAAACTTGAAAGCCTATCGGGGTGTTTTTACTTCTGTATGAAGTATAGATATAGATTTATGGTCACTATGTGAATGCCTTTTCTTTTGTGTTCTATCTCCTGTTGATTTTGATCTCTTTGATGTTGGCATTATCGTCATGCTCACCATTTTGTAGTAGATGTGTCTTAGTCTTTCACACACAATGTCGGAATGCAGAAGGTGTTCTTCGTAGATGAGATGTTATGGGTCCCACATCAACTAGACTTGGATCATTTATCCTCAATATATGTGTGAACCTCCCTTCTCTCCTCAATGGGTCTTTGGGGAAGTAATCTAATGAAGGTTCCACATATTCTCATATGGCATCAGAGCCAAGGTCTACCACTATGTGAGGTGGGGGGGTT